GGAGTTAGCTATTCCGCGGCATCTGCTTTCCAGCGCCTTTGCGTAAACTTTACCAGGGAGGCTCAATAATGTAATCCCCCTATAATTGAAACATTCCTTGTGGTTTCACTTTTTGAATACGTGTACAATAACTTCCGTTCTCCACTCCGTTTTCGTCTTTTCCGCAGTTATCTCAATTTGAAAGACGCGTATAAGCCAGCACGTGCCTAGTTCGCCTAATGCCTTGAGCATCTCAAGGCAGATTTCATCAATTTCAGAAGCCTTTCTATTTTTCAAGCTTTCCACAGCTTGTATAATCTACAGAGATAGTAATACCCCTTCCCTGCGGTGCTACGGGTTAAAACGTTCCTCAAAGTACTGCCTCCATCGCCGAGGAATGTCATCATGCTTGGTTAGAGGGTCTCCAGACCTGTCCTTTAGGACTCTTCGACTGCCCTTTCCACCTCGGAGCCGGCGAATGGTCTGTCCGAATACTTTATTTGCCGTGAGCATATGCGACTTCAATACCTCACGGGACTTTTGCCAGAAATCAGATTTGACTTTCGTCACTGCTTTGACTGCCGCTTTGCGTGCCACGACATATCGCACGCGAGTAGAAGGCCCTTTGTTTCCGAGCCATTTCTTGAGCGCTGCGTTATTCTTTTTAACCGCCAGTTGTACCTCTCCTGTCAACCAGGGAGATCATTTCTGACCTCCAGGCGGCAGGTCCACCCGTTAAATTCCGCAACATTCGGCGGCAGCCTCGAGTTTGCCGCTCTTAAAGAGCTGCCACTCGGTTTCAACATCAGTTGTCATCGCTGGGATCTGTTCAAACCGTCGTGCGACGTGTTTGCAAATTTCGCTCTCGTGTCCACCGAAGACAATGTTTCCCGTTTGATTCTCCGGTTGCTTCTGCCACCAGATCTTCGTATGGTACTCTATTTTTTACAGCGCAGCGTGCCAACAACAAAGTGGTGATCGGTTGATAACTCTGCGCCTCTTTTAACACGAACATTCATTACTGAGCGTCTTAGGTCAGACGATACGATTATAAACATGATCATCGACTTCTGTGCACAAGCTTCCTTGTACCAGATGTACTACTTATGCACTCTTCGATGCTCGAAGAAGGTGTTCATAATAGACAATCCGTTGTTTGCACAAAACTGCAAATACTTCATGCCGTTATTCTTGAGGTCAGTATGGCTGTTCTTTCCACTTTTCAAAGTCTGCTCCGAGTTGCGCTTTGAAATCGTCCATTATAATGACGGATTCCGTAGTCGGCGCTTCGTAGAGCGCATCTTGTGCTTCCTCTAGGACGATCTCTCAACTGAACTCTCAGGACGAACTCTCCCTCCCAGTTGAGCGCATAGACCTGTAACAAGGTCAGAGCTGTTTCCTGTTGTGACTTCGGTTGGTTGATTGCCAATGTTCTAGTGACTGCTTCCATTCGGTAATTCTATCAGCTAGTTTGAGTACGATCAGAGGACTTACACCAGCCTGAGCGCCTGTCGAGAAATAGAAACCTGAGTAGAATAGCTTCCACCCACAGAGGTTCAGGGTTTAGGATCTCTGGCACTTCGTTGACGAGAGTATGTCCCGTTGGTATCTTGCGGCATCATAAACTAGCTCCTGCTCTTAATGTCTGAGTGAGATGTTCGAATTTTCGACTGTCAGCTCCCACTGTTGATATCGTTCTCATGGGGCCTAATCTGGCGTGCTATGATGGCATCACAGTGCCTGTCTATTCCACTCATAAAATACCACTCTTCTCTCTTCTTCTCAAAGACGTCTTCGAAGTCTTCTTCTCTATCCTCTGCAGCTATGCATCCAAATGCTACAGGGCGAAAAGTAAGTTGGGATTGCCGACGTGTCGCAGTCTACCTCAGTTCCCCTACAGCCTGTACGGTCCTTGATGATCGGTCTAACGACCGAGCCGGTATGTTGTTCGATGACAGCAATATCATGAGGGCAGATGACTAAATTTTACGGGAAGATTCGCCACAGGTCCCAAGTCTCCTTCTGTCTCATCGGGGTTTAGGACTAGCAACGGCGGAGTTTGGCTGCTTCGTAATGCATCGACCGAAGAACAAATAGCTAAAATTTTAAAAAAAATTATGTATGAAATTGTAAATGAAGATAAAGTATTTCGTTCATGCGTTGGTGATAATGCTGAAATCGGCCTGAAGCACGACTTATTTAAACGTAACGCAAATAATGAGGTCAATCGGACAATTGAACAGTGCGGACATTTTGGCCTTCTTGCTCTGAACATACGAACCGCTGTGCATAACGAAATGTCATGAATCTTAATGAACTCGCTACATTGAAGAATGTCTCTGAGAGACGTACAGAAACGTCGATACTGATCAATTGTCTGATTGACGAAGCTGCCTCCATTGTGTGTGAATAGACTGTGTTTTATGCTGTTTAAGGCATAATATAGTAGAAAAGATTTAATTTTCTTCCACGTGGCAAGACAACTGTAAATGGACTGTGATTTGTTAGTCATCGTTAGGTTTTCTTCATGGAGTCGTGAGACTCAGTGAGATTGTTGTTTGTCTTAAGTCGTTCTAAGATTATTTCTCGAATGAACAGTGACCATGATGAGTGTCAGGAGATTAAAACATCAGTTGTCGACTGTTGCATGCATTAAACGACTATGTGTGCCAAAACGTACATTAGAAAACCGTTTACACCGACTTATTAAAGTCTCCAATTTTTTTTGGCAACCGGAGTTTCGATCAATTTCGGCAAAGTTAAAAAACAACGAGATTTTCAATCAAAGTGAATAACTTCAGAATTAAAATTGCATAACGTATCTACATTATAAAAATCGAGAAAATATTTAACTATACGCTATATACCATAGCATGGAATTGACCGCTGAAGAAATTTTAATAGTCAAGTGGAAAATTCTGAGCAGCCGCGGTATCTTTTATGAAGGACCTGTCACAAGTTTATTCCAACCTAATCATGGCAAGGAGTGAATGCCCACCGAAGTGGGAAAAAACTTGTTAGAGCTGAATATGGCGGAAAGAATTGTTCTTAGCTTGTATACAATCGTATAGAACTTTAATGAACCCAAGATCACACAATACATAACTAAAAAGGTACTGGTAAATGAGTTTATGGATTTCCTTACGTCCTTCATTCATTAAAAATATTTATTGAAGGAAAGGAGTCATTAAAAATATTTATTGGAGGATTTGGGACCATTGTCCACATGTATCCTGAAATTCCGTTATGAGTTTTTTTATCGTGCTTTCTAACCCTCCAAACGAATGCGACTCAATTAATCTGTATTCAGATTTTACATAGCGCGCTTGAATTATGCTTGCATAACTGTGTTCTATTTCCAGCATGCAGAGGAAAGCTAATGTTTGCACAGAAGCTTGTGAATCGTGGCGAAGAAAAGAACTACATGTACTTCGCCGAGAGGAATAACGTTAGTAGTGTCAAGGAGTGCGCGAAGGCATGTTGGGGAGCGAAGTTCTGCAAATCCGCCACTTACCTTCCCAAGAACAAAGTCTGCAGACTCGGTTACGCTCAAGTTGCGCGTTGCTCTGACAAGGAACTTGTCGAAGACTGCTCGCCGACCGACGCCTTGTCAGTTCTTTGTATCACCTGTGCTGCCGGAGGTATGTTTCGTGTTTCGCTGCAACAAGCACTGTGCAGATCTATTTGGAATTAATATCTTTTCTGATCGTAGTTGCACAATATACGTACAGGTAACAGAAATTGTATGTGACTCGATATCGGCGCAGTTAATTTAGCCGCTCGGTAGTTGCTCCTTCCAAAGAATTCTTGGCCATCTTTGTAAATCTGGTGAGCGTGGTGGGAGAGTGACCAAGAGGTCAGATTCGAACTCCTGATGTACAATATTCGAGGGCGTAGAACGGACAATCTTTTTCTAATCCAGGAATTTCCTTGAGCAAAGAATTTACCTAACTTTGCTTCGATGCAACTAGCCGAAAAGTGGGTGTCAAATTGTTTCCTTGCAAATAAACAGGGACGGCATGGTATTTTGGTGTAGTCGTACCATAATGGACGATGTGTACGGCCAGGCAGTGCGATGCAAGGGCCCGTGTGGCTGTACTTAGCTTTGACCGACCTGATGGCTGACTGTCCAGCGTAACAATCAGCACAAGGTGTAATCCTGGAAAAAGATTTCTACCATCACCTGGCATCTAAAGCGCATTGTTTCCTATCCTGTAATCAGTAGTAATAATGGGTTACACCTAAAAATTCAGGGTTTGTTCATGCCGTGCTGAGCACGGTTCTCTCTTTTTTGACATAACTTAATCAAAATACAGCAGCGGTTGATACGCAAAGTCATCGGGGTTCGCATAATCACGAAAAATCATATCATAACATATCATTATGCTTAAACAGTTCCAACCTCAACAGGGGTCGGCTGTGCAATGCGCCGTGAAATCTGATCCTTGGAGGTTTCATTCGTTATTTGACGTGCTCGGGCGTGCGAACAGTTCACGATGTTTATGCGGTAGCACATCTGGAGTACCAGCTCTCAAGACATCATTCGTGATGAGAAACAGGTGGTTCTAGGCGGATAAAATTATTTGAGGTTCATCTGGTACTACAGGTGCGAAAATACCATGTCGCTGTGCCCTGCTTAAATGGCTCCTCTAGACAAGGATTCAAGAGAGATTTGCGGCACGCCGTGAAACCTGGCCATGAAGGAGTCATTTGTTATGTGATATCATGCTTATCATTGGAGCTTTCGAAT